TATGCAAACTTTAAATATGGGGCCCCTATGAATATTAAGCCCGAATCAAATTAGTATCATATTTTGATAAACGTCTATGGAATGTGTGGTTGAAAAGTTGTGGGTCTTATAAAATGTATAGTTAAAATTAAACCCCCGTTTGGTGCACATTTTGAAGCCAAGAATGCATTTTTACTGTTGATGTGATGGGGAATACGTGGTTGAAAAAGAAGGAAAAGTTATTGATGTGATGAAAAATATTATTTTATCAAAGAATGTGTGGTTGAAAATAAGTAGAAGAATGAGAATGAAAAAATAATGTAGAACCAAACAGGGCATAAGTGTTGAATTTGATTTAGAAATAATTAAATACAATTAAAAGACAGGTAAACTTAATCGGGAAAATTGGAAAACAAACAATCGGATTTAAACTTTAGTACAAACATAAAAGAGAAAAAAAGAATAATAAGTGGATCGGAAAAATCTCAAGCCAGATTATATAACACATAGAGAAGCATTAGTTTAATTAAAATATTAATCAATACAATGACACTGTAAAACTAGAAAAAAATTGACAAATAAAATAAAATAAAATACAACCTAGAGAGAAATAAATAGTAGTGCCTTAGCAGCAACCCCTTGAATAAGTATAAGACCCACGGATATTTATGTGAGACACAAACGTATTTAGTAAGTTTTATGCCATTTATATAATTTTTTTAGAGATATTTTTATTCTCAAATTTTCGTTTTTTTTAACCAGTTAATTAAGTTTAAATAATTTGGGGTCCTCATAAAATTGGGGCCTTAGGCGATTGTATATGCCACCTATAGTCAAGACCGGCCCTGAGCGCTTATGGGACACTTCTTTATTGTGGAGGGTCTATAAATAGGTCTACCATCGAAGGAAGATGTTAGAACTTATTTTACATATAATACGAACTCTCAATTCCAATTTAAATGCATGTTTTATTGCTTTGAATAATAAATCATTCTCATGTTGGATTGGAAGCCGGGATGAGGTTCCCTTCCCCACGTTTCAAGTCAAAGCCACAATTTGAATGATCAAGTTTTACTGGCATCGTTAAGCATCAACTACAATGACAATTTGAAAGCTGTTTTTTCTCAATAAATTAATGTATCATTTGTTTTCATTCATGGCTTGAAATAGGTGAAATATCTTACTTAATATGAAGGTATATACTATTCAATTTGTTAGTAAAAAATTCTTAGAATATAATAATATATGTTATTAGTTAAGAATGAACAAGATAGGAATAAAGATTTGCAAAAATATATTAGTCGTTGTATTACATAGTGTCTTCAAAACAGATTCCCCTCATTGTAAGTGCTTGAAGCTTGGTTGAACATTTATCCCCCATGATACAATTGAGAATCTAGTAGAATCTGAATAATTCAATTCCTACTCCAAAGAACTAAGGCCATGTTTGATGGGCTTTGAATTCCATGGAACTTGGAATTAAGTTCCATTTTCCACAACATGACTTGTTTGATGTGTAAAATTTGGATGGGAATTGATTTTCTTGATCTGCACCCACCTTGTTTTCCCTGCCTTTTTTTTTTTTTTTGGCATTTGAAAAAAATTAAATAAAAAATTTTAAAAAAAAAAAAAAAAAAAAAAAATAAAAAAAAAAATAAATAGAAAACAAAAAAAAAAATAAAAACTTAATTAAAAAAAANTGGAAAAGCTTTTCTAGATGCTGATGCCCCTTTTTTTTTATTTTGCAATGAAAACACATTTCATAGCTAGTTAAAAAAAAAATCACTTTAATGGACAATTTTCATGTAAAACAAAGCCAAACGAATACTAAATTTTAATTAAAAAATGATTTTTTAGGGAAAAAAAAGTTTTCGTTTTTTTTTTTTTAAGTTTTTGGCAATGGAAACAAATTTTATAACCAATTGTGAAAAAATGATCACTTTAATGGACAATTTTAATGTACAACAAAGCTAAACGAACACAAAATTTTAAAATTTTTCGAGTGGAAAATTATACCAATCAAACACACTTGATTAACAATTCCCTGCAAAACAATTTTTAGGCAATTATTTTTTCTAAAATTCATTTTCTTTCCACCCATTTTCCATCTTTACAATCAAACGGACCCTAAATTTGTATTAAAACAAGACTACCTATTTCACATAGAATTTGAAAATATTAGCAGTCAGGGGAGCAAAAATGTGTATGTAGAAAATGAAGAGAATCTGTGTGTGGACAAAAAGAAAAATCAACCTATATAAATGGCTTAAATAGTGACTTCACAACTGAGAGTTTCGATTGTTACAACCTTTAACTTCATCATCAATGTGATTGCTTAATCTCCATCAATGCGCAACGAACACAAGAGTTTTAGGAGTCATAAAGTCAATCGGAAGAAAAAATATATAAATTATAGGAAATAAAGGCAAAACATGGATCTTTCTAAGGGCTCAATTTTGGTTCGTTTGGTTCGACATTCATGTATACAGGCTGCGCTCGCACACAAATTCAAGACTTGACATGCTAATCTAGTTCCTGATTTGCACCATCTGTGCGCACATGAATAGAGCCTTTATGATACACATAATTACACTCTTCAAAAGTGTAGTCATAATATATAAACATTAGTACAAAACATTACTATATTTAGAGTTCATTGTACAAAACATCCCAACGTTTCATTGTTTTTGCATTTTCATCCATATTTCCTCTTTTCATTGCGGAAATCATCATTTTCATCTATTTTTATCGGGTAATTAGCACATAACATCCATACTTTTTTTCCTTTTTTTTTTTTTTACATTTTCATCTATTTTTCAATTAAAAATTGTGCAATGACGAATATACCCTTCTCTTTAAATAAAACAAAAAANGCACATAACGTCCCCATCTTTCATTTTTATTGTAGAAAACGTCTATACTTTTCATTTTTTGGCATTTTTACCCATATTTCTACTTTTTATTGCGCAAATGTCATTTTCATCTATTTTTCAATTAAAAATTGTGCAATGACGAATATACCCTTCTCTTTAAATAAAACAAAAAGAAAAATAAAGAACTAATTTCAACCATACTCCCATTTTTTTTAAAAAAGTGCAAATGAATCCCAAATAAATTATTAAAATGTAATTAGTACATAATGTCCCAATCTTTCACCTATATTGTGAAAACATCCATACCTTTTTTTTTTTTTNATTGTGCAAACCATCATTTCCATCCAATTTCTTAATAAAGAAATGTAAAATAATGAATATCCTATTTAAATAAAAAATATTTTTATAAATTTCTAATTCTTTAATAATTTATTTCGGACTTGTTTACACTTTCTAATGTTTTTAATTTTTAAATGAATTTAATTTGGACTCGTTTGCACTTTTTTAAAAAAAAAATTGGGAGGGTTGCAATTAATTCTTTATTTATTTTTATTTAGATAAGAGAGTATATTCATCATTTGACATTTTTTTTATTAGGAAATTGGATGAAAATGGATAGAAATGATGTTTGCACAATTAAATGTGTAATTAGGGTGAAAATGTCAAACAAAAAGTAGGGATTTTTTTTGCAATAATAGTGAAAGGCCATACATTATGTGTTAATTACTATTTTAATAATTTATTTGGGGCTCATTTACACTTTTCAAAAAAAATTGTCACTATGATTGCAATTATTTTTTTTCTTTTTCCTTTTGTTTTATTTAAAGAAAAGGGTATATTCGTTATTTCACAATTTTTAATTGAGAAAATGGATCTAAAATTATTTTTTGCACAATAAAATATGGAAATATGGGTGAAAATTCCAAAAATTGAAAGGTAAGGACCTTTTTCACAATAACAGTGTAAGGTGTGGACGTTATGTACTAATTATCCATTTTTATCCAATTTCTCAATAAAAGTTGTGAAATGACGAATATACCATCCTATTTAAATAAAATAAAAAGAAAAGAAAAATAAAAAACTAATTGCAACCAGTCTCAATTTTTTTTTTTAAATACAAATAAATCTTAAATAAATAATTAAAAATTAAGAGAGAAACCGCCACCTCCAAAACCTAACACATAAATTCACATCGGAGTTATTCTTCCTTCTTTTTTAGACATCGAAATTGGAGATATTCTTCTTTTTACTGGAAGAATCACGCAAACCTGATAAATCGGAGCTATTTTAGACACCAAACTGGAGTCTTCTCCTCTTCATGGAAAGCAAATTCCTAAAACAGTGATAAGACAAGCATTTCATTCGAAGTAAATTGAATCAAATATAGCCCAGAAGAAGGGACATTGTTGCTCCAATAATACCTTTTCCATGAACTTATCAATGTCTGTTAATAGAGCAGCAATGAAGCATCGTAGTTTGGATCATCTCTTAAAAGCAGCGACTAGCACAGTGTGTGCGGCAAGCATGGCACTCGTTGTTCCTATATAGAACTCACCACAAGAACTCCTAACATTCAATAAAATAAAAAAGAAGCATAAACAGAAACTGTTGAATGGGCAGTCTCTGCTAGCGGACGACTTAGGGAAAAATTGGATCTATTGGAGCATTAATTGGAGAAATTGAAGCTTGACCTATTGTCGTGTGATGCTGCTGGTCGATTGAAGAATTAACCACGAGAAGGCTTTTCAACCAATTTCACTGATCTAAAAAAAGGCATAAGCAATCATAAATAATTGGAAAAATTGCAGTCGCGGTCCCAAACATTTTTGTTTTTGCAGACTTTATCTCAACCTTCACTTTGTGCCACCACAGGTCCCAAACATTTGAGAAATTTGCAGATGTAGTAAAAAATGACGGAAAATGTTAATTCCACAGTCAGTTGAGCTCAAAAATGGAAAAAGGGCAAATTTTGACCAATTTAAACATGGGCATTTTCGTCCATTCCTATTTCCCCCTTTTCACTGTACTAATCACTATTCATTTCCCTCATTTTCTAGGTCTTATATATTGGGTTTCTGGAGAGGAGCAATTGAATCTCTGGGTTTGATTTTGATTTGCTTTCTTAAGATTAGGTTAGGGTACTAGGGAATGGAATGTTGCGGGGTCGGTGGCGACAAATGTCAGAGGCAAACGAAAACCACGGCTGGTGGTAGGGGTACCCAAGTCACCACCAAATCGAAAAAACTAGTAAAAATTGCCCTAATTTGGTACCAGATTTTGCCGATAAGCCCTCAAGTCCCAAGAAAATTAGGAAACTACACCCGTCCCCCATAATTGACTCAAATTTCTACACTCAAGCTCTTAAAGTTCTCTCCTTCCACTCTCCCTTTGATTCTGAGGTCTCTCAGACTCCTTTAGCTTCTATTTTGGGTGCTAATACTATTCCCAGTGGGGTGTCTCAGAACTCGGATAGTCGGAAAAGGCAAAAGAAGCCTCATTTGGGTTCGGAGAAGAAATCGTTGTTCTCGGGGAGGTCACGTGGATGCAACATTTGGGTTGAGACCGAGGAGTATTTTTGTGAACTGAATGTGGACGATGTTGAGAGGCTCCACAAGGTTTCAAATGTCAGGTATTCCGGTGACGAGAAGTTCTTCTTCGTTCCTTCATTGTATAATAATGACAGTGTGCGCACTCGTTATGAAGTTCTTCTTTGTTCTTCTTTGTTCCTTCATTGTATAATAATTCAGCAAATGGATTTGAAGTAGGAATGGACGAAAATTTCCCTATTTAAATTGGTCAAAATTTATCTTTTTTCCATTTTCAAGTCAACTCACGGTGGAACTAACGTTTTCCATCATTTTGGACTGCATCTGTAAATTTCTCAAAGGTTTGGGACTTGTGGTGATACAAAATGAAGGTTGAGGTAAAGTCTGCAAAAAATCAAAAGGTTTGGGACCGTGGCTGCAATTTTTCCTAAATAATTTGAACAACATAGTTTCGAAGAAATTTGCATAGGAATGGATGATTTGAAGAGATCGAAGAGAAAAATCATCACCATTGTAAAGTCATTGTTGTAGAGAAGGATTGAAGAGAAGTGGAAAGTACAATCCTCACCATTGTTGCAAAGAGAAATCCAGAAAATTTATAATCCACAAGACTGAAGTCAAAAATGTAATTTACACTGCAGAAATGTCAATCCATTAACAATTATGCTTTGCTTTGTTCAATTTTTATCACACCACTCACTGTTGGTGTTGGAATTTGGTTTTAAGAATTGAAATTTAGTTAAGCATAAAACTTGAAAAGCTACTTTGTGTCAATTTCGGTCAAATATTCGGATTTTATTCAATAGTCAAATTAGGAAAGTAATAGACTAATTTGTTCTACTCGTAAAGTGGATCGTCGTAGGATATTTGGACTTTAACAACCAATTTCTGATGAATGAAAGATCATGGTCCAAAGTTCGAAGGAAAATTGGAATTTAGCATGTGAGGCTGTCGCTCAAGCGACAGGCATGCCTAGCTAGCGACAAACTCTCTGCATTTGGCGTTTGAGTGACGCTCAAGCGATATACGAGCAACAGTTATAATCAAATCAAAATTTTCAAAACGCGTTTTATGTTTTTTTCAAAATGCCAAAAAAAAAAAACACATTTTCAACAATTTCAAAATAGATATTCAAAACACAAAACTCAAAATACAAAGAGAACAGCCCCTAACTTTCTTACTGTTATGTGAAAGGTTTTAAATTGAAGAACAAAATGGCTTTCATCGAAGTATTAAAAGGCACAAATTCATATATATACTTGGTTTTGTAAGTCGATTCTATACTTAATTTCATGCTTATATAGAAGATATGTTGAATAATATGTATGCACACAATATTGGTAATATGTTTAAGGATATGCATATGTAATCGTTGTAAAATCTCCAACAGTTGGGTCACCACATATTTGACCCGATGGTGATGGTGGTGGTGGGATTGAGAAAGAAATATATTTTTTTAACAATTTATTTAGGACTCATTTGCATTTTTTATTAATAAAAAATTGAGACTATTACTGCAATTAGTTTTTTATTTTTCTTTTTGTTTTAAACAACATCCATATTGGTTGATTCAGTTGCTATTTAAGCAAAATAAACAAATATTAGTTCCTTAATAAAGATTAAAGTTAACCATATGTTTATTTTTTAATCAGGCCAGTTTTATTTTATTTTTTTTTAAGTAAAAAATCCATAGAATATGATAATTTACATTATAGATTAAAAAAGTGTAAACAGGAATAAAGAATTACAGAATTATATAAATCGCTAAAAGAGAACATATTTTCAATCGAGGTATTTGTATACACAGTGCCCTTCAAATGGACTCGTCTCCTAACTGTAAATGCTTAAGGTTTCATTTGAACGTCTATCTCCCAGTATATAATAGAAAAAACTAGTATAATCTAAGTACTTCACAATCTGTAGTTTTGTTTTTTGCCCTATCAACAATTATAATGATAGATCCTTGCCCTAATTACAATTTTTCAATGGATGGCTCAATATCAAACCTTTTAACCAGTTTTCTAACTCCACTACCGTCGCAACTGTTTCCATCGCAACTCCAAAATCTCTTTATACTTTTAATTACATCTATTCTACTGGTTGTTTTAAAAATAAGGGATAATTGCAGCA